AGGATTAAAATAAAACTCCCTCGCACGACACTGGCGACTGGGCATTTAAGAAAACGTGTTGTCACCCACACTAGACACTTAACACACACAGTTTTGTTTTGTGACACTTACTGACCCGAACGGTTTCTCGGGGTTCGTGCACCCCCATCTGCCTGCGCAAGAGACGCGTCGGGCTCATTTTCATCGATTCGGCCCCACTACATTGGGAAAGATAAGCCTGGACACCACTGTGTGTGTGTGTGTGTGTGTGTGTGTGTGTGTGTGTGTGTGTGTGTGTGTGTGTGTGTGTGTGTGTGTGTGTGTGTGTGTGTGTGTGTGTGTGTGTGTGTGTGTGTGTGTGTGTGAACGGGTTTCGTTGGGCGCGCCCGGGGGCCCTCAAGGGGGAGGCGCAGCTCAACATTCTTTCTAGTGTGCGCCAGTCCCGTGCCTTGTGTGTTGTCAAAGACCCACCAAAAATTCTACTCGAGTACTCGAGTAGACACAAAGAGAGAGAATTTCTCTCTCTACACAAATAAATAGAGCAGGCATCTCCAGGAGAGATAGATGGGCGACGCACGAATCACACAGGTGGACCATAGGGCAGGCGCGGGCCTCCTACTAGCTTATTTTTTCTTTATATTTGTGTATATGTCTGCGCGCCGCCGCTCGCACCGCCTCGCCGCCGCCTCCACCCCCTCGCCCTCGCCAAGCACGCCGCCGCCCGCCCGCCTCCTCGACCTCCCCACGGACCTCCTCCGGCGCGCCCTCTCTCGCTGCGACAGCCCCCTCGCGGGTTGTTTGACTGGCTGGCCGGCGTGTTTTTCTGGCGAGTACAGACCACGCCTCTCTTTTTCACAGGGGGGATCCGTCTGGGCATGCTCGACACGCCTTTTCGCTGCGCATGCTCGAGCCCCTGGCGAGGGCTTGTGCTGTGAATAGCAGGCGTGGTCTGTACTCGCCAGCGTGTTTTTCTTGAATTCTTAGAAGAAGAAAGAAGAAAGTTTGCAGCGGAAAGTTTGGGGTCGTGGGCGCCAGGGAGGGCGGAAAGGGAAGGTTAGGTGGGTTACGACTAACTACTTACTGACTGTGGCCTGGCTGACTGCGTGCGTGTGTGTGTGTGTGTGTGTGTGTGTGTGTGTGTGTGTGTGTGTGTGTGTGTGTGTGTGTGTGTACGGCCGGAAGCGTTGAGGGCGTATGGCAAGGTAATGGCGGCGTGTCGATCGCATCTGACGCGAGGGTGGGAGCGCGGGAGGACTGACTGGCTGAATTGTCTGTTGGGGAGAGAGAGATTTTTATTAACCAAAAGAAATCACGACTCTCTTCTGTTGGTGCCGATCTGTCTGCTGCTTGCTGATCCATCCTTCCGCCTCCCTCCCTCCCTCCCCCTCCCTCCGTCTCCTCCTCCGTCTCCTCCTCCGTCTCTTCGCAAACAAATCGCCGTAAAAACAAAATAATATCTCGGCCCACCTACATCACCAGGCTGCGTATACGGTAATTCGATCTGTGCGCAACCAAAACCGCCGTTTCGAGCAAGTAACAACATTGCCTGGGCTGACGTCGAACTGGCGCACAACAACTACACCACCGCCCCCCCGATGGGTCATGTCCTCCGTTCCGGCCGCCCTCGTCATCGCCGCCTGGAATAGCGCGGGGACGAGTACGGGCCAACAGCGATCGCCCTCGCGACGGCCTCCCCTCGGGGAGGAGCTATGGAGGCCGCCGCCGGTGAGCACACCCGGCGAGGCGGCAGCAGCAGCAGCGGCAGCGCCCACAGGTGCAGCAGCCTCCTCCACGGGGACACAGCGGAGACGGTCACTCCAGCAGCCAATGGCAGGCTCGGAGCTTCTTCACTCGCGCACTACCCGGGTAGCGTATACGCTACTTTCGTTACCCACATTCTAAATAAATAAATAAATATAACGTGCACGCCAAACGAGGGGTGGGAGAACGCCAAGAATTCTTCTTTTCGGCTCGGCCGACATATCGGCGTCGGGCGGAGACATCAACACACACTTGCGACATAAAATGCTCTCGAGGACGGTGAGCGAATTCCTCCCTCCAGCGCGAAGTCTTTCCCCCTGCCCTCACCCCGACCCCCCCCCTCCCTCGACAAATCACATGTGACAAATACAGATTCGCCGCGCCGCCAAGCCGGCCACGACGACGCGCTCGTTCGAGCGGTACCTCAACCTGCACGAGGTTCGCCGCACGACCGTCTGCCGGTGCCATCAGTCGCCCTCCCGCACCGGCTGAGCCCGGTCTCCGCCCGCGACGCAGTACCAGAGCTCGGCGCTGATGAAGGAGAATGGCATCAATGTGCCTGTCGGCATAGCAGCCCACTCTGCAAAAGAGGTGCGTGACCGCGTGTGCTGAGCGTGAATTCGGCGCGCTTGAGGCGTCGCCCGGCCTCGCAGGCGATCGCGGCAGCGGAGGAGATTGGCGACGCGGAAGTCGTGATCAAGTCGCAGATCCTCGCCGGCACAAGACACACAGCCGCCTGCCCCTCCCCACACTCGCTCTCCTGCCCGCATGGCAGCCCCCTCCTCCCGTGTATCGCAGGTGGACGAGGGCTGGGAACGATCTGGAAGTCTGTATCTTCAGGGTACTCTTACCCCCCCCCTCCTGGCATGAACGCCAGCTGCTGCGCGCCTCCGTCCGCCACGTAT